CCACTTATTGAACAGCTAAAGCCAAGAAAAGCCCCTGGCCCAGACGCAACTCCACCCGAAATAGTTAAAATAAATCCGGACTGCTGGGCCACCTTCTTGGCTGATTTGTTTTTTTTACCATAGTCGATAGAACGGGAATAATGGCAGAGTCTTGGACCAATGCAATACTGGTTCCCATCTTTCGAGACCCAGGATGCCACATGACGGGAGTGAGCTCCCGTCTCTAGTTCCAGCTCCTGCCAACCTAGCAGTTCGAAAGCAAGAAATTGCAAGTAGAAAAGTAACAAGGTGGGAAGGTAACAGCGTTCCGTGCGCCTTGGTGTTTAGTCATGCCGGTCACATGACCACGGAAACGTCGTCAGACAGCGCTGGCTCTTCGGCTTTGAAACGGAGATGAGCACCGCAACCCTACAGTTGGGACTCGACTGGCTTTCGAGCAAGGGAACCTTTACCCTTTACCATCCAATTACCATCCGATAAACCTCCTTTCTATTATTGGGGAACTTTATGCTAGATGACTTGTTAACACACTTGGATCTTGGATGTCAGAACAAGGTATTCTGGGTCAAGAACAAATAGGTTTTCTGTAAAGGGGAATCCACCCTAAATCACTGCGCGGTGGTGATGGAAAGTGCCCTCGAGTCACAGCTGACTTACAGCGACCCCATAGGGGCAGGGGTCATTTCATAGAAAAAGAGGTGCAGGAGCTCATTAGCATAACTCATTAGCATATGCCACACCCCCTGACATCACCGGAAGTGTGTCAGAAGGCAACACCCACCGCTCAGGCTCCACTGGACTCTTTTGGATTGCTAGCTATTGGGGGGGGGGACGTGCAGATCTGTCCTTCGCAGAGGAGTGAGAGCTTGTACCTGAAGGCGGACCAGGGGGGAGCTCTGCAACTTACCTGGCTGCTTCTTGCTCCTCGTGGCCCGACTGAGGGCTGCTGGGAGCAGGGGACGGGGCTTGTTGCATGTGCCCGCCCCTGGGCTCCTTACTGCTGGAGCTCCGCTCCTGTGTGCTCCTGCAGGAAATGACCCCTGCGTAGGGGTTTCAAGGAAAGGGACACTCCGAGGTCGTTTGCCATGGCCCTGCCTCTGCGTCACGACCCCGGACTTCATCGATGGTCTCCCACCCAAATACTAGCCAGGGCCTGCCCTGCTTAGTTTGCGAGATCCGATGAGATCGGGCAAGTCTGGGCTATGCAGGTCAGGGCTGTGCTCGCCGTAGGGTTTGCCTTTCGGCCAAAAGGGCCGGCCTGCTCCTGAGAGAGAGTTTCGTAAGAGGAGGAGAAGCACTCAGAATATCCCATTGTGACAGACAGGTACGTTTAAGGCAGGGGATGAAGACCGACGATACAAAAGTGTACGGAAGCACCATCCAAAGACCAGAGATGGGCAGAAAGCAGACGTTGGCGAAGTTGTGGCCCATTAACTAATTCCCAGTCCGTGACCTACGGCCGGCTGGGATTTCTTTGAAGAATACGGGATGTTGGTGTGAACCAATGTTCCCTCTAAGCTGAGTTAGTGTGAGCCAGCTCACGGTTTTTTAGCCTCCGGCTCACACATTTTTGTCTTGGCTCAGGAAGGATGGCTCTAGGGCAAACTCATTTATGCAGTAGCCAAATTGCTGGCTCACAACTAATGCCAGTAGCTCCCAAAGTAGAATTTTTGCTCACAAGACTCCACAGCTTAGAGGGAGCATTGGTGTGAACTAGGAGAGTCAGGATCATTTCAGGATCAGGATCATTTTGACACAGCGCCATTTAGCCATAGCTGCTGAGACAGTGGCTCCTAACGTCAACTCTACCACCAACCCGCCAAGTGCGCAACATCATCAGAGAATGCCCCCTCCTCCAAGCCTCAAAAATCAGCGTATGAAAATAAGCAATCAGACAAAACAACTTTAGTATCTGGGAGACCTGGATCTCATGCCATGGAAGCCCGCTGGGTGTCCTTGGACCAGTCACACGCTCTCAGCCTAACCTACCTCACAGGGTTGTTGAACAAAGCTTGAGTCCAGGGGCACCTCTAAGGCCAGCAAAGGTGTAAGCGTTCGTGTGCAGGCACACTGCTTCAGATACATTTTGCGCCGAAGAATAGATTCTTTTGAACTATGGTGCTGGAGAAGACTCTTGAGAGTCCCTTGGACTGCAAGGAGATCAAATCAGTCAATCCTAAAAGAAATCAACCCTGACTGTTCCCTGGAAGGCCAGATAATGAAACTGAAGCTCAAATACTTTGGCCACCCAATGAGAAGGGAGCACTCCCTGGAGAAGACCCTGATGCTGGGAAAGATTGAAGGTCAAAGAAGACGGGGACGGCAAAGGATGAGATGGTTAGACAGTGTCATAGATGCAACGAACATGAAATTGAGCCAACTTTAGCAGACGGCAGAAGACCGGAAGGCCTGGCGGGAGCTTGTCCAGGGGGTCGCGGAGAGTGCGACTGAACAACAACAACGCACGGCGCCCAGGACGTCGCCACGGCAACCAAGCGCTCGGTGAACCGCGCAGCTTAAAGAGCCAACTTCAGAGGACGGCGGAAGACAGGAGGGCCTGGCGTGATCTGGTCCATGGGGTCACGAAGAGTCGGACTCGACTGTGCAACTGAACAACAACAAAAGGAGCCACTGGACACAAACTTGGTTCTGTCGCTTCAGACCAACACAGCTACCCACCTGAATCTACCTCACAGGGTTGTTGTGAGGATAAAATGGAGGAGAGGGAAATGATGTCAGCCACTTTTGGGCCCCCATTAGGAAGACATAATAAATAAATAAATAGTTGTATAGACAGACTAGTGAGATATATGCAGACAATAAGCCAGCTCTCAGATCCAGCAGGACCCACACGCCTCATGGCCATCAGCCAACTCCATCAAGTTATGTTTGATTCCTATCTGCCCTGTGTCCACTTCTTTAAGGGCCGGGGAGAAGAAACTGAAGATCTGGGGTTTTATTCTTCAGGTGGGCTGAACCGAATAAACAGCTTTCCTCTCTTGGTTGTCAGAGTCCATTGAAAGCGGGGAGACGGGGCTGCCTAGAATCCAGAATTACCTATTTACACCCCGAGTTCTGAATTGCTTCCCTTGTAGACTTCCATCCTGGGCTGGGCTGGGGCCGTAGGGCCCCTCTCAGGAATCCCCGTGTTAAGAGCTTCTCAAGTGTAAAGTGTCACAGGCCAGCCAGGTTCCAGCAAAGAAATCAAGGAAGCCACTGGGCTGCCCATCAACTCCAGCCTCTTCTCCCCTAGTACAAGGGGGCAGGCCTGGCTACCGGGGCCATGAAATCCATCCACGCCTGCTTAGTTTTAACCCCGAGTCACTCATCCAACTCCAGAGCAGCCACTATTTATCTGGCTCCCGTCTCCAAATCCACTCCTGAACACGTTCTACAAGGGCGGGGTCACCCACGCTCAGAGCCAGTCTGATTCAGGAGGAGAGCCACAAAGAGCGGGGGGGGGGCGAAGGCGGGGAGAGGTGGGTGGTGGGCTCTCCTTCTCTGGAAGTCTCTGAGCGGAGGCTGGGTGGCCATTTGACAGCTGTGCTGATCCTGTGAATTTAGGCAGATTGTGAGAGGGAGGGCAGGAAGGGATGAGCCAGTGGTCGGTGCTGGTGGCCCTTTCTTACCTGTCTCGGGCAATGCCTGATCGCCACTAGAGGGTCAAAAACATCAGAAGGGCCCTGCTGGATCAGACCAGGGAGGGTCCACCTAGTCCAGCATCCTGTCTCACACATGGGCCAGCCAGTTGCTCTGGAGGGCCAACAACAGGGCACAGAGGCTTTCCCCTGGTAAGAACATCAGAAGAGCCCGGCTGGATCAGACCAGTGAGGGTCCATCTAGTCCAGCATCCTGTCTCACACAGTGGCCAACCGGTTCCTCTGGAGGGCCAACAACCGGGCCTAGAGGCTGAGGCTTTCCCCTGATAAGAACCTCAGAAGAGCCCTGCTGGATCAGACCAGGGAGGGTCCCTCTAGTCCAGCCTCCTGTCTCACACATGGGCCAGCCAGTTCCTCTGGAGGGCCAACAACAGGGCAGGGAGGCTTTCCCCTGATAAGAACCTCAGAAGAGCCCTGCTGGATCAGACCAGGGAGGGTCCACCTAGTCCAGCATCCCTTCTCACAGTGGCCAACCAGTTCCTCTGGAGGGCCAACAACAGGGCACAGAGGCCGAGGCTTTCTCCTGATGTGGCCTCCTGGCCCTGGGATCCAGTGGATTAGCGCCTCTGAACGTGGAGGTTCCTGGTCTCACACAGTGGCCAACCCGTTCCTCTGGAGGGCCAACAACAGGGCACAGAGGCCGAGGCTTTCTCCTGATGTGGCCTCCTGGCCCTGGGATCCAGTGGATTAGCGCCTCTGAACGTGGAGGTTCCCCTCAGCCACCCTGGCATCAGAACATAAGAAGGAAGCGATTTCCCTCCAGGCTGGAGTGCGCCAGCGACCCTGGAGGTTTCTCGCTTGCCTCTGAGCACAGCGCAGGGGTCACCGGGGGAAAGGGCGGGGAGAGGTGTGGATGTCCCGCATCGCGCGGGGGGTTGGACTAGATGACCTTTGGGTCCCCCTCCCAGCTCTCCGTTTTCCACTTAATCTTCTCCGCAGCCCACCCACCCCGTGCGGGACGCTGAAACCGCCGCGATAACGAACGGAGCCGGCTGCTTTCCACGGCCGGGTGATTCCAGACGGCGGTTTCCTCCCGCGGAGGAGAGCCGCCGAGCTCGGCCGTCGAAACAGCTCGGCTTCGCTCCCTCCTCTCCCCAGCGCCGCACTAAAGACGGAGGCGCCACACCAGTGCACGGGCTGGGCTTTCCAGAGGCAGGAAACGCAACTCAGAGTCCGAGAAGCAACAAGTCAAACCAAGTTTCTCTCTCCCCTCTCGCCCTTTGCAGTTCCCCTCCACGCTCCCCCCGCCCCGGTCCTTTCTTTCCTGCTTCCCCAAACGGCTGCAAAAGGGCCCGGCCCGCCGCCAGCCCCAGCCCCGGCCGATCCGGCCCCCCTTCTTACCTTCCGTGGTGCCCACGCCCGGCCGGAGCGCACCCAAGAGGAGCCCCACGCAGAGCCAGTGGGGGCTGGGAAAGGGCCCCATTGTGCTCTCATTGCCGATCCTGGCTCATGGCTCGGCTTCCCGGGGGAGAGGAAGGAAGGGGGCGAGGAGCTCTCGCCCGACGGCCTTTCCCAGCGCGCCCCGGCCGCCTGCGCCGTCCTCCGGTCGCGCCGCAGCCCAACTTCCCAAGCCCTTTTCCTCCAGCGACTTCATGAAAGGGCACCACCTCGCCTCGCCACTCGCACCGGCCGTCGAGAGCGCGCCGGGCGCGCCCCCGAGGATCCCAGCTCCCTCGGGAGGGGCGAGAGCCAGTTCTGCGTCGGAGCGGCCGGTCGTGGGAAAACCGCGAGAGGGAACTTTCTTTACTCCAAGAAAAGTTTCCCTGCGCGTTCTCGCCGCCGCCGCAATTGCGCACCGTCTCCGCCGGGCCATCCGAGTTGGGGGGTCTTCTCTTTAAAGCCGTGGGGTTTGGGGTGAAGAAAAGGAAGGCAACGAATGTAATGCTTTACAAAAAAAATAATAATCCCATTTCAGTTACAGGAACTGACTCTCAGCCGACTAAAGGCGAGCGAATAATCGTACACATTAGCTTTTAAAAAATATATACTGGGCAATTCATTGTATACTTTAACATTTTTAAAAAAATTACTGGGCGAATAATTGAATACACGAACTTAAAAAAAAAAATTACCGGACAAATATTTGTATAGATATAATTTTATTAAAAATTCACTAGGCAAACAATTGTATACGTTAGCTTTTTAAACAAGTTACTGGGCAAAGAATAAAAGCTGTGTCCACAGGATAAAAAGAGGGGAAGTGTTTTAAAATGAGAGTCGACTAAGGGAAAGAAAGATTGGTTTCAAAAAGCTGTATCTGAAGAACTGTACATGCGCAAGAAAGCTTATACCCCGGATCAATGCTCCCTCTAAGCTGTGGAGTCTTGTGAGCAAAAATTCATTTGAATAAAGCACAGCAGCAGAAGAAAAAAAGGTATCATCTATCTGTAAGCACTAGAACAATTTGGTATCATTAGAATCTGGCGAAAATGGTATAATTCAAGGGTAGAGAACTCCCAGAACATGTGGAAAAATAGCAGCCTGGTGGATCTTTTTGTTTAGGGCAGATTCTCTGTCCAAGGCGAACCCCCGTGGTGCCAGCAGAGCCACTGGGATTGGCAGCCTGAAAGAAGGCGACGGGCATGACTCGCACCCACCCCCCAATGTCCCCTCTCAGCTGTGGAGTCTTGTGAGCAAAAATCCTACTTTGTGAGCTACTGGCATTGAAGCTGTGAGCGAGCGATTTGGCTGCTACATCAATTAGTTCGCTCTGGAGCCATCCTTCCTAAGATGAGACAACAATGTGTGAGCTGGAGGCTAAAAAACTGTGAGCTAATTCCCACTAACTCAGCTTAGAGGGAACACTGCACTGGACTCAAGCTTTGTTCATTTCGTACAGTGCAACTCTGTTGCTTTGGGTCCCCAGTGAGGAGAAAGGAGGTGCATAGATGAAGCACATAATATAAAATCATAGTTGTTCTTCAGACACCCAGTGAGGTATGTGAGAAAGTGCTTTTATCCCCATACCACAGATCTGGGTAGGAAGACGACTGAGGCCTCTAAGGCCCTCTACTGACTTCATGCGGCTGAAAGGAGATCTGAAGGAGGGACTTCCTCGGCCAGCACACTGCCAAGGTATGATGTCATTATCCCAGTCGAAAATACCTCCTGGCATTTTTCTGGGGTGCCTTTCTCACGGCAGAGGCTCAGGTCAGAAACTGCAGCTGTCACGCAGGCGGCCACACCTGGGCATTTCACACACTCGAGGACCAAACCAGGGATTTAAAAAATAAATAAATCAGACGTCCATGACGAACAGCCATTTGGCCATAAAAGAAGCTTGAGGTAAAGGAGGAAGAGAATGAGGTATGTGGCTCTCAAGTGGGCTAGGTGAAAAGGAAACAACTGGCTTGTTTAAGACGACAACTATGTTGGAACAGAATGCCCGTAGGGATCTGCTTGTGAGTAACCACCGAAAGCACACAAAGGGGTTTCTACCAATTAGGCGAAGCGTGAAGGAGCAGATCTTAAGGACGCAGAAATAATTGGTGCAAAATCTAGGGCTGGTTAAAACTAAAAAGGGTGGGCCAGATTATTACCATTTTCTGACGCTGTTCCTGTTCATTTCAATGGGGGCTTGTGTTGAAAGGACATCGTTATGAACAGAACCTTGATCATAATTCTGGACAGAGCAAAATTGCTGGAATCACCTTTATGCCACTCGAGAGGCCCTCGGAACAGGATCCGATGGTGGTCTCAAGCCATGGGTCCTTAGGGGGCAGAGCAGTAGTCCCCAGCTAGGGCTCCCAGCCCTGGATTGGGAAATACCCGGAATTTTTTTTTTTGGGGGGGGGGTGCCACTGCCTCTAAGCGGTGGAGTCTTG